ACTCCCATTCACAATCACTACAAAGAGAATAAAATACCTAGGAACACAGCTAACAAGGGATGTGAAGGTTCTCTTCAAGGAGAACTACAAACCACTGTTCAAGGAAATAAGAGAGGACACAAACAAAAGGAAAAACATTCCATCCTCATGGATAGGAAGAACTAATATCATGAAAATAGCCATACTGACCAAAGTAATTTATAGATTCAATGCATTCCCATTAAACTACCATTGACATTCTTCACAGAATTTTAAAAAAAAACCCTATTTTAAATTTCATATGGAATCAAAGAAGACCCCATATAGCCAAGACAATCCTAAACAAAAAGAACCAAGCTGGAGGCATCACACTACCTGACTTCAAACTATACTACAAGGCTACAGTAACCAAAACAGCATGGTACTGGTACCAAAACAGACATATAGAGCAATGGAGCAGAGACCTCAGAAATAACATCGCACATCTACAACCATCTGATCTTTGAAAAACCTGACAAAAGCAATGGGGAAAGGATCTCCTATTCAGTAAGTGATACTGGGAAAACTGACTAGCCATATGCAGAAAACTGAAACTGAACCCCTTCCTTACACCTTATGTAAAAATTAACTTGAGATGGATTAAAGACTTAAATGTAAAACCCCAAACCATAAAAACCCTAGAAGAAACTTAGGCAATACAATTTGGGATATAGGAATGGGCAAAGACTTCATGACAAAAATGCCAAAAGCAATTGCAATAAAAGCCAAAATTCACAAATGGGATCTAATTAAACTAAAGAGCTTCTGCACAGCGAAAGAAACTATCATCAGAGTGAACAGGCAACCTACAGAATGGGAGAAAATTTTTGCAATCTACTCATCTGACAAATGCCTAATATCCAGAATTTACGAGGAACTTAAACATACAATAAAAAAAAAAAACAAAACATCAAAAAGTGGGGAAAGGATATGAACAGACATTTCTCAAAAGAAGACATTTACGTGGCCAACGAAAATATGAAAAAAAGCTGAATATCACTGATCTTCAAAGAAGTGCAAATCAAAACCACAATGAGATACCATCTCATGCCAGTCAGAATGGCAATTATTAAAAAGTCAGGAAACGATAGATGCTGGTGAGGCCATAGAGAAATAGGAACACTTTTACGCTGTTGGTGGGAATGTCAATTAGTTCAACCATTGTAAGAAGATAGTGTGGCAATTCCTCAAGGATCTAGAATCAGAAATAGCATTTGACCCAGCAATCCAATTACTGGGTATATACCCAAAAGATTATAAATCATTCTACTATAAAGACACATGCACACGTATGTTTATTGCAGCACTATTTATAAAGCAAAGACTTGGAACCAACCCAAATGCCCATCAATGATAGATTGGATAAAGAAAATGTAGTACATACACACCATGGAATACTCTGCAGCCATAAAAAGGAATGCGATCATGTCCTTTGCAGGGACATGGATGAAGCTGGAAGCCATCATCCTCAGCAAAGTAACGCAGGAATAGAAAACCAAACACTGCATGTTCTCACTCATAAGTAGGAGTTGAACATTGAGAACACATGGACACAGGGAGGGGAATATAACACATCAGGGCCTTTTGGGGGTTGGGGGCGAGGGGAGGAAACTTAGAGGATGAGTCAATAAGTGCAGCAGACCACCATGGCACACATATCCTATGTAACAAATCTGCACGTTCTGCCATTATCCTGTTATTTATTTATTTATTTATTTATTTATTTTTTTGAGTTAGAGTCTCGGTCTGTCACCCAGGCTGGAGTGCAATGGTGCAATCTTGGTGCACTGCAACCTCCGCTTCCCGAGTTCAAGCCATTCTCCTACCTCAGCCTCCTAAGTAGCTGGGACTACAGCCGCCCACCACCACGCCCACCTAATTTTTGTATTTTTAGTAGAGATGCGGTTTTGCCATGATGGCCAGGCTGGTCTTGAACTCCTGACCTCAAATCTGAGGTCACTCCTGATCTGCCTGCCTCGGCCTCCCAAAGTGCTAGGATTATAGGCATGAGCCTCTGTGCCTGGCCCTGTTTTTGTTTTTGTTTTTGTTTTTAGCAGAAGTAAAGAAAAAAAAACCCAATATATTATAAAAGAGCCCATGATGAGCTTGGAAGGAAGGCTTAGGGATGGGATTCCTTCATTCTCGGCTTTCTTGGAAGTGTCAGTTCCTAAACACCCTACTTTAGTGTGATTACCTGCCCACGGTTCCTCTCCCCCATTCCTCATGGGCTTGGGAGGCAGAGCTGGTGTCTGTTGTGTTCTCTGCTCTATCTCTGGTGTCTGCCCAGTGCTTGACACATAGTAGGTATTCAGTAAGTACTTTTTTTTTTTGAGACAGGATCTCACTCTGTTGCCCAGGTTGGAGTGCAGTAGGCACAATCCCAGCTCACTGCAGCCTCGACCTCTCAAGCAATCCTCCCACTTCAGCCTCCCAAGTAGCTAGGACAGCTTCCCAAGTAGCTAGGCGCACACCATCATTCCTGGCTAATTTTAAAAAAAGCACAATTGTAGAGATGGGGTCCCATTATGATGCCCAGGCTGGTCTTGAACTCCTGAGCTCAAGCAGTCCTCTACCTCTGCCTCCCAAAGTGTTGGAATTACAGGCATGAGCCACCTCACTCAGCCAAAAAATACTTTTTGAAAGACAGGGCTGGGCACAGTGGCTCACACCTGTAATCCCAGCACTTGGGGAGGCCAAGGCGGATGGATCACGAGGTCAGGAGATCAAATCATCCTGGCTAGCACGGTGAAACTCCGCCTCTACTAAAAATACAAAAAATTAGCCAGGCGTGGTGGTACGCGCCTGTAGTCCCAGATACTTGGGAGGCTGAGGCAGGAGAATCGCTTGAACCCAGGAGGCAGAGGTTGCAGTGAGCCAAGATCGCACCACTGCACTCCAGTCTGGGCAACAGAGTGAGACTCTGTCTCAAAAATAAATAAATAAATAATAAAAGAAAGAAAGACAGAAGAGGGGATGCCCCACTTCCCATATACTCAATATTTAAAATCCCCCAAAGGAGTCATTACTCCTCTACATTTTCTCACCCACTTCCTGGGCCCTGTAAGTTGCCCTGTGCTCCCAGCTCTGGAAAGCCCCTTCTCCTCCTTCCTCAGTCTGCAATCTCTAAGTGTCTGGAGGCCCGCGTTTGGTCCTGCTTCCCTTTTGCCTAGGGGTAGGAAGCACAACCCAGACACATCTGACCTCAGATTTGCTTACAAATCCTAGCTGGAACGAAGAGCAGTTGCTTCAGGGTCTGAGCAGGGCTCCAGGTTGACAGACACATTTTGCCCACCAAGCACTCCCTGCGGTTGCCTCCTCCATCTCATGGTGCTGTGGATTTGGCACTTCCCCAAGATGCTCACACACTCGTGCAGGCGTGGGCCCGAGAAGAGATTTCCCAGCTCACACTTCCTCTAAAGATCCTTCCCAGGCCAGGCAAGGTAGCCCATGGCCATAATCCCAGCGCTTTGGGAGGCCGAGGTGGGAGGATTGCTTGAGCCCAAGAATTTGATGTCAGCCTCAGCATAATGGTGAGACCCATTTCTAAAAATGAAATAAAGACCTTTCCCACGCCCACGAATATACAATCACCAGTTTGGAAATGTCTACTTCCCAAAGGTCATATGGAGAGGCTTCCGGGATGCTGGCAATGTTCTCTTGATCTGGATGGTGGTTAAAGGATATTTGCCTCGTAATACTCATTAAGCCAGACATTGCTGTTTTATGTACTTGTCTGACTGCATTTTGTATTTCGCAATTTTTAAAAAGGCAAAAAAAAAAAAAAAAATCCTCCCATCCCCAAGCCTTTAATCCAATCAATCCATGTTAAAGGAGCATGTATCTGCACTCAGTCCCTGCTAGGGAAGGAGATTCTCATTTTCAAAGAAGTTTCCTAAAGGGAGCAAAAATAACTGGCAAAACAGACACTGAATCCAGCTCTGAATTGTATCTGGAAAACAGACCATGCTGTCATTTGGAGGAGGAGTCCAGAGATCAAGGAGTGGTGGGGCTTAAACTGGGCCTGAATATATGGATAGGATTTATTAAGTGGAGGGAAACATAGCCAAGACAGCAGCATAAGCCAAAGCTGTTAAGTGGGACTGAGGCTGTGTTTAGGGGGAGGTCCCAGTAGTGAAGGGTTCACGAGAGCCAAGTCTGGCTTGGAGGGGCCTTTCTGCTGTCCCCAGCACAGGCGGAGTGGATGCCACTTACAGTATCCGCCTGCTTCAGCGGTGTAGAAGTGTCTGAGCCCTCGTGCAAGAACAGACATGTGTGCTTCACATTTCTTGGTTTGTTTCGTTGTTTTGCTTAAGTCACAGGCCCATGTGGGCTCATAATCTCTATCCCAGACAGACCGGAAGTTACATCTGCCAGACACATTACATGGGCACACGTGTTCCTGCAGAGGCACTTGCTCAATCCCTGCTTTTGAACTCTGCCCCACCCTGCAGCTGCCTTCATGTGCCAGCACTACTGAGCTATTTAGAAGTGGGGGTGCAGGGAGGGGACACGAGAACTCAGGACTGCAGATTCAGGTGCAAAGATGTGTGACAGACTGTGAGATGACTTCCACCTCATCCCGTGGAATTCAGGAACTTCCCCCACCATCACAAAGGATATGGCTGGCCACCTGAGACTGTGGGCAAAGGTACCATGAAGTGTTGTGGAGAGGAGGGTCACTAACTCCAGGCAGGGCTGCTAAGTTTGTTACAAAGAGGCAAGACTAGAATATGTTTCCATTTTAGTGAGTGGAAACCTAATCATTCATAGGTATCCTGTACACACAGAACAACTGTGATGAAGAGTGAGGCCTAAATCAGAGGAGACGAGGACAATAATAGTAGTAGTAGTGGTCATGATGATAATAATAACTACCAGACATGAAGATTAACCACGCCTAGCATTGTGCTAAACATCTCACTTCTTTCATTTAATCCTTACAATAATCCAATGATGTGGCTGCTATTATTTTTATTATACAGATGAGGAAACTGAGGCCTTGAGAGGTATACTGCTTTGCCAAAGTCATACAAATGGTAAGTGCAGAATCAGGATCTGAATTCTGGCAGTCTGACTGCAGAGCCCACGCCGACGCTGTGGAAGCTGGCAATGCCCATTAGGCCCTATCTGGGCATGAAGAGGATGTCCTCCCTCATGAGCTGGAACACAGCATCCCCTGTTGTGGGTGTGGCTCTCTTAAAGACCATCTGGTGAATTTTGCTTGTGCTGGTTTCTTATTCAACAACGTTCAGATTTGGCTTCACGTGCAACTCACATAGAAGGAAAGGAGGCCATGATCCACCAACATGACAGCTGTATTTTTCATGAGTAAATTAGCAAACTGGCTGCCTGGGTCCCCATGTGTACCTGTTAAGGTGAGTCCACCCCAGAGCTAAAGGCTACCATGTGCCAACTTAACTGAGATTCTGAGTGTGCAAGGATAACCCCGGTCATGGCCCCGGGTGCCAAGGAAATCCCTTTTAGCCTCCTCTTGGCAAACTTGGCCAGCCTTCCCCAGTGACAGCCTGGCTGTTTGGATTCAAGCTGCCCGGTCAGACTGCAAGGGTCATCTGTGTGAAGAAGGAATCAACAGTGCCAGGTTCCAGTGTGCATTCCAAGTTCCACATTCTGTATGCAGACTCCCAGCGCCAGAGCAAAGGCAGGCCCCTGGCAGGAGACTTGTAAGGCTTCACCTAGTGTATTTCTTCCTATATACATGTAACCTGGGGCTTCCTGGACCTTGTACTCTCTCTGCTTTCATTGACAGTGGTTCCTAAAGCTGGTCAGCATCAGGGTTACCCAGGTAGCCTTAAAACACACACACACACACACACACACACACACACACTATTGACTTGTCTTATTTAGGCACAGAATACTTTTGCTACAGTTACAAAAATGCAGGGTTTTTTTTTTTTTTTTTTAAAGTGAATCCTAAAGTAATGAATGGAGTGGATGGGCTAAATAAATTTTCTTTCTGACTTCCAATAACGTTTTGTAAGGTTGAACCCAAGGGCTCGGTCTTTGTCACAAACACTGGGTGGTTTTTCCACCAAGCTCGGTAAGTGGTACAGCTTTCTGGGATAGCGTGTGTGTGTGTGTGTGTGTGTGTGTGTGTTTGTATAACAAATGTTTAAGAGTATGGTACAGTACTGTTAACTGTATGCACATTACCGTACAGCAGGTCTCTAGAACTTTTTCATCTTGCATCACAAAAACTACATCCATTGAACAGAACCCCATTTCCCCTACACCCACCCCTGGAAACTGTCATTCTATTAATATTTCCTGTTTCCATGAGTTTGACTATTTTAAATATCCCATAAGTGGAATCATGCAGTATTTAATCTTCTATGATGGGCTTATTTTACTTAGAATTATGTCCTCAAAGTCCATCTATGTTGTGACATGTGACAGGATTTTCTTCCTTTTTAAGGCTTTGTAATATTCCACTTTATGTATACACCACATTTTCTTTATCCATCCATCAATAAGCATGTAGATTGTTTCCACTAGGTTATTTTGAATAATGCTTCCCTGAACATTGGTGTGCAAACATTTCTTCAAGATTCTATTTTCAGTTCTTTTGAATAAATACCCAGAAGTGGGATTGCTGGATTATATGGTAATTCTATTTTTAACTTGTTGAATAACCACTATACTGTGTTCCATAGCAGCTGCATCATTTTACATTCCCACCAACCCAGTGCACAGGAGTTCCAGTTTCTGCACATCCTTGCCAACACTTGTTATTTTCTTTTTCTTTCTTCTTTTTAAAAAAATAATGACCATCCTATCAGGAGTAAAGTTATATCTCATTGTGCTTTTGCTTGGCATTTCCTTGATGATTGATGTTGAGCACGTGTTTTCCTATGCCTGTTGGCCTTTGTATGTCTTCTTTGGAGAAATGTCTACTCAGGTGTTTTGCCCATTTTAAAATCAAGTTTGTTGTTGTTGCTTTTGCTTTGAGATGTAAGAGTTCCTTATGTATTCTGGATATTAACTTCTTATGAGATGTACGGTTTGCAAATATTTTTCCCATTCCATTGGTTACTTTTTCACTCTGTGGATTGTTTCATTTGCTGCACAGACACTTTTAAATGTTACGCAATCTCATTTGTCTATTTTTGCTTTTGTTGTCTGTGCTGTGTCATATGTAAGAAATCATCATCAAGACCAATGTTATGAAGCTTTTCCCGCATGTTTCTTTCTAGGAATTTTACTGTTTCGGGCCTTATGTTTAAGTCTTCAATCAATTTTTAGTTGATTTTTGTGTATGCTTAAAATAAGGGTCCCATTTCATTCTTTTGCATATGGACATCTAGTTTTCCCAACATCATTTATTGAAGAGACTATCCTTCCCCCATTACGTAGTCTTGGCACCCTTATTGATGATCATTTGATTGTAAATGTGGGGTTTATTTCTGGGCTCTTCATTCTTTTCCATTGGTCTATATATCTAGCTTTATGCCAGTACCATACTGTTTTAATTACTTTAACTTTGTAGTATATTTTGAAGTCAGGAAGTGTGAGACCTCTAGCTTTGTTGTTCTTTCTCAAGATTGTTTTTGGCTATTTGGGGTCCTTTGTGATTCCATATGAATTTTAGAATTCTCCCACCCTATTTCTGCAAAAAATACCATCAGGATTTTGATGGGGATTGCACAGAATCTGTAGATCATTTCATTAGTATGGACATTTTAACAATATTAATTCTTCCAACATATGAACATGGGATGTCTTTCCATTTATTTGTGTTTTTAACTTCTTTAAGCAATGTTTTATAGTTTTCAGTAAACAAGTATTCTAGTTCCTTGAGGTGTGAAGTTAGGTAACTTATTTGAGAGTTTTTTTTTTTTTTTTTAATATAGATGTTACTACTATAAACATTCCTCTTAGAATTGCTTTTGCTGCATCTCATAAGCTTTGGTATGTTGTATTTTCATTTTCATTTGTTCTCAAGATATCTTTAGTTTTCTTTTTGACTTATTCTTTTAAAAAAATTGTTTTTAGAGACAGGGTCTCATTCTGTTGCCCAGACTGGAGTGCAGTGGCACTTCATTAGCTTATTACAGCCTCGCACTCCTAGGTTCAAGCGATTCCTGCCTCAGCCTCCCAAAGTGTTGGGATTATAGGCATGAGCCACTGCACGTGGTCTGACTTATTCTTTAACCCTTGGTTGTTCAAAAATGTGTTGTTTGATTTCCACATATGTGTGAGTTTTCTAATTTTCCTTTGGCTATTGATTTCCAGTTTCATTCCATACAGTTGGAAAAGATACCTGGTGTGATTTCAATCTTCTTAAATTTATTGAGATTTGTTTTATAACCTAACATGTGATCTGTCCTAAAGACTGTTCCATGTGCACTTGAGAAGAATGTGTATTGTGCTTCTGTTGGGTGGAATGCTCTGCATATATGTCTTTAAGGTCCATTTGGTCTATGGTGTTGTTCAAGTTCTCTGTTTCTTTACTGATTTTCTGTCTGGATATTCTCTCCATTTTGACAGTAGGGTATTGAAATCTCCTACTATTATTGTATTGCTGTCTATTTCTTCCTTTGGTTCTGGCAATGCTTGCTTCATATATTTGGGTGCTCCGATGTTGGATACATATATAAATGTTCTATCCTCCAGGTGAATTGACCCTTTTATCATTATATAATGTCTTTGTCTCTTATGACAGTTCTTGACTTAAAGTCTATTTTGTCTGACATTAAGTATGGCCACCCCTGCCCTCTCTTGTTACTTTTGCATGGAATATATTTTTCCATCTTTCACCTTCAGCCTGTATGTGTCCTTAATTTCTTTTTTTTTCTTGAGATGGAGTCTCACTCTGTCACCCAGGCTGGAGTGCAGTGGCACAATCTTGGCTCACTGCAAGCTCTGTCTCCCCGGTTCACACCATTCTCCTGCCTCAGCCTCCTGAATAGCTGGGACTACAGGTGCCCACCACCATGCCTGGCTAATTTTTCTGTATTTTTAGTGTTAGTCAGGATGGTCTCAATCTCCTGACCTCATGATCTGCCCACCTTGGCCTCCCAAAGTGCTGGGATTACAGGCGTGAGCCACCACGCCCGGTCTGTGTGTCCTTAATTTCTAAAATTAGTCTCGTGTAGACAGCAAATAGTAAGCTCTTATTTTGTTAATCCATTCAACCACTCTATATCTTTTGATTGGAACATTTAATCCATTTATATTTAAAGTAATTACTGATAGAGAAAGACTGACTGTTGCCATTTGTTAACTGTTTTTTTGTCTCATGGCTTTTTGACTCTCTTTTCCTCTCTTGCTATCTTCCTTGTGTTTGACTCTCCCACACCTGCCCCCAACCCCCGGTGGCAACATGCTTCAATTCTTTTCACATTTTATTTTGTGTAACCTCCATAAGTATTTTCTTTATGGTAGCTGTGGGCTAACATGAAACATGTTATAATTTTAACCGTCTATTTTAAGCTGATGAATTAACTTCAATCACAAGCAAAAACTCTTTTTTTACCACCCAACATTGTTATTGATATCACAAATTACATCTTTTTATATTAGGTATCCATTAACAAATTTTTATAGTTATAGTTACTTTTTATAGTTTTGCCTTTTAACTTTTTTAACAAAAAAGTATTAATTAATTAATTAATTTTGCCTTTTAAAAATTTTATTTTTATGAATGGTAACTATTGCCAGTGCTATAGCTATCTAATAAGAGCATTTTACATTTAATATGAGTCACATGAAAGGCCTATATCTATTTTACAAAAAAAATTAATTATGAATAGCTGTTTGATACAGCTTTAGCTCAAGCTAAGAAAACAGCGTTCTTTTTTTTCATTATTATACTTTAAGTTCTAGAGTACATGTGCACAATATGCAGGTTTGTTACATATGTATACAGGTGCCATGTTGGTGTGCTGCACCCATTAACT